CGTGCACATCGTAAATGTTGCCCCAATGTTTATCACGTTACAAGGCAGTGCTACTTTATATTAAGCATACATTGGTAATTTTAAACAGATCTCGTGGAACTCGTTTCTTTTTTAAATATCCACTACAAGACGGGTTTTCCCCCCTAGTATGTGCTGGCATTTCTTTTCCGTTCGGGAAATTCAAGTAGCGCTTTCTGTTCGGTGTGCTGATTGTTACTGTGCATCTGTGGTACCGTAGACAGGAACAGCGGCCACAGCAGACACATATATGGCCCAAAGTTTGAATATCAACTTGAACTAGTATTATACTGTATTTTCTCTGTCCAGATTTAATCCCCATCACCCATGAACGCGGGATAGTCGCGGAGGGCTTATCAATGTAAAGCCGGCGGATCTACCTTGATATAGCCGGCGTTTCTTCCGCGATCATCCCGCGGCTACGAGCGACAGGGATTAAAATTTGTCGCTCAGCGGGCGACTGAGTACCAAATCACCTGACGCGTACTGTAGTTTGAAGACGCTTCACAATCTGTAGAGTTCTATTCACACATGTGAACCACACAGCCGATCGTAATAATCAAACTTATCATTACTCAGTCATTTATTCAAATATCTACCTGCAGTTTGGTATAAAGGTGTATCATAGTTATATGAATAACATATCCTCTGATGTCGCTTACTTAATCGATTAATTTTAGAGATATAGTCTGAAGACGCTTTACGATCTGTAGAGTTCTAATCACACCCATATGCCACGCCGCCGATCGTAATAATAAATTAATCATAACTCGATCATTTTTTCAAATATCGAGCTGAAATTTGGAATTTATATCAATAAAAGTCTAACTAATAACATATCTTCTGATGTCGCTTACTTTAGCGAGTAATTGTAACGATATTATCTTGCGACGCTTTCTTCACTTAACATGCGAATACACATATGAGCCACGCCGCGATCGTAAAAATTCAATTCATCATAACTTGGTCATTTTATCGAATATGGAGCTGAAATTTGGTACAGAGGTGTATTATAGTCATATATTAACAACATATCTTCTGATGTCGCTTACTTTATTCAGTATTTTAAAACATTTTGTCTGGCGACGCTTGTTGTCACTTGTAGACGCTTGTTGTCGGTTGAAGACGCTTTTAAGGAGGACCCGTTGCATTGGCAAAAAAAACAAGGGTAGGTAGGTCAGATTTTTTCTATCATTATTATGTAAACATCTAAAAAGAAATTGGTACGAAATAAACACTAATTTTCCAAGACATTTAGAACTTGGATTTCTTTCATAAATATAAGACATACTTTGCACGTTACTATTGATGTTCAGCAGCTTTTTGACAATAATACTGTATACAGTACAGTGGTTCCTCCGACATGACAGCTGTACTTTGGACCTTGCATAATTAAGGACATGTTTACATCGGCGATATCTAGTTCTGCACCACAAAACTCGATCACGAAATATGAATGGCACCGAACATATACTCAAATGATAATTTCATTGAAGAATGCATATAAGAAGTGAGATAATTAGCTGAAATACAAACCATTTCTGCTGCAGACAGACACTCTCCTCATAAAAGCCGCCATGTTTTGTAACTAATTGCCGTATAGTAGTAGAAAGACGTAAACTAATTACGTTGTTCTTATGAAAAAATGGTTATTAGTAAAGACGTCAAGAAAGAGAAAATGAATGGTTGCTTTAATTTCAGTAGCATTGTCTTTAAAATAAAAAAAGAAATAGTTAAGTGTGTTGTCGTAAATGAGTTGGTTGCAACAGTTATCTCCCTTTAATCAATGCGCTAAAAATCAATGGGCCGCCTTCGTTTATTACGTTCCAAACGGTTGAATCGGTTGGACCAGAGTTGTTCGTTTATGAAATAAATCGGATGCTGCATTCATGCGAGCCTTCGCAAAGTTATAACTGTTATAGGCCTTTTTAAAATCTGTTCGGTGATTTATACTTTCTAATATTTTTTTGTAACTCAGAAATTTATTCAGATTTTTCAAACACATACGCATGACAAATAATGAGATACAAGTCTGTAAATTATGACAGGAAAAGATGGGTAATTGTACAAAACACTTATCTTACAGATTTCATACTACCCTACTCACTACATGTCATACATATAAACCTATTACACAGCCTTTGTCTGACTGACATTCATAATTAAACCATACACCCATTTTGCATGTCCCATTCGTACATACAGAATACTTATGGTCATGCGATGTGACTTTCTAATATTTATATTGTTCTTCTTAGATATGAACTTCATAAAATATTTTGAAAATTGATTTATAGATTATACAATATGTCATTTAAGAAAATAAGATGATTTCATAATCTTCTTCTGTTATATCATCCTCCGTCAATATATTGACGATTACGGATTGTGACAAGGCATTAGATTGCTATGAGAAACCAGTAAAGCCTTTTTATATACCTTATGCCTACATGTATTTGCTAGTTGTGCAGTTCAAAGCTCACGTGTATGAAGGTAACTCAGTGCAAGTGTTTAGATGTAACGCGAGTCTATCTAAGAAGTCTAAGGTGATTATGGTACTGGTAGTTCTAATCTTACACCTCTGGTTAGATAATAAGTGAAAAGTTCATGAATTGTTGACACACCCTGTCAAATTCATACCCAATTAATTGGTCATTGCCCTCGTCATATTTTTCCTTATTTTTCATTAAAAAGAAGAAGAAGAATGTTATCACGATGTACGTTTTTACTCATGTATAAGTCCGCGCCTCAATTGTTTCGATCCGAAGGTAACGATGTCACCGATGCTTTTTGCCTTAAAAATAAATCTTAACTCTGTATCAAACACACAGAAATTATAAAGCCAATACTGAGGTAGCAGAGTACAGTAGAAATGGCCTGATCCTAAAAATAAAGGGCATGTCTCAGATAAACATGGGTAGTGGATAAAACCTGCACAACACACCAATATATATATATATTTATAAACTACGTTTTGAACAAATTTTGTTTAGAAGACTGATTTTTTTCAAAAACTATTTTCCCCAGATTTGGGACTTGTGAAAACACACAAGCATAGGTCATTCCGGTGGATTTTTCACAATATTTACACATGTGCTGAGTACAAAAATAGACTACACGATAAGCTAGTTAATGCACAAAACTGTAGTCTCAAACCAAATTCGATTTTTTTTAAATTACGAAGCCCACATAATCCACTTCATCATGTATATGCCAATTTTAGTGCCGATTTATTTTTTGATACATGTAATATTACGGGGTTATTCATCGTATAAAAATATCACCCATGACCACCGTACGCTACTGTACACTGCTACCTGACTTTATGCTCTGATCATGTAAAGTCATATAGTATAGTAAAAACGTCTCTTCCTCAATTCATCATAGTAGGTTTTGGTTGTGCTTTCTGACATTACCTGTTGGTTCTAATATCGCTGCTGTAAACCTTTGATGGAGTTCATTTGCGTATGTCTCCTGTACAAAATACGTTATCAATTACGCAGGTTATTCCGGCTTTATCAGGTCCGTTTATTAAATGCGTGCTGAACATTTTTGATTGTGTTATTACTATTGCGCTCTAAATTTAGATAGATAGCGAGCCTTTTCATATAATTTGTACGGTTTGAACATTGATTACTGTAAAGATTATTTGAATTGTTGGACAAACATGCATGTGTGAAGCGCAGAATCGAAGAATAGATATGGACTGGAGTTCTAGAATGGAGACCATTTTAAAGTGAGAACCAAATGTGTTTGATGAGTAAATAACCGCATACTGAACTGGATACGGGAAAATACCGGTCCAATGGCATGTATACATGTAACTTTTAGGTAAAAATATTGATGAAAAGTCACGTTTCCTTTTTGGTTACCATAGAAACCAGCAATTCATAGATACATGACATCAGTTGTTGTGACAACCTATTTCTTTTAGCCTGAAGTGGATCTAACGACCTTTGTCGGAAAGTCATACCGGGGCTGATCACTTTGACATGCAGGGTGACACTTCACTGATCGCTCTTGTAAGGTATTATTATACGTACTATGAACTTAGCCGACGACATACAATGTACCAATGCAAGTTAACACGCTCAAACCGAAAACAATGCTAATTTTTGACAATGAAGTAAGGTTTTCTCAGTATCTAACAGGTTCAAGATTTGTCATAGGTACATATCAAATATTCTAAGAATAATTAGATTTCAATTTTTATTTTATTTTTTCGACCTTTCGTTTTCTTTTAGACCAGACAAAGTAATGGTACCCATCGCTCTCTCTCTCTCTCTATATATATATAAGATAATTCTGTTCTCAAGATTTTGATATTATTGTAATGTTTGGATTTATTAATATTTATCAAAATTATGGGGAATATTTGTGTAACTATTGTAAGTGTGTGATATATTGTAAGAGTTATGTCCCTTTACTCGTCGTATTATACACTTTTTAATACGTCTCTGCTATTACAGACATTACGCCGTAAATCGCAATGTTTGGCGCGGCAGTGGTATTAATCATTTTATCTAACTTCAGATCGGTTGAAATTATGTGACGATTAGATAATAATAAAATATTGTGATTTTGGTGCAAATTAACTGCACATTTATTTTGGTATTAGTGATTTCCTAAAACAATGATTTTCCTCATACATGGGTACTGGATAGTTTGTACCGTACTTGTGAACAATAGTTGCATTTCTGTGGAAGTAAGTATTTTAAAACAAAGAAATTTGAATTAAAAAAAATGTTTAATGTCAATAAACAAACAATTATACAAAAATAATGTCACAATAATGATGCCATTTGATGAGACGATACTAGTTCCTTGCTGGCTCCAGGTCAGGGCACACAGTGGGTGTAGATTTCCAACTACAACACAACATCGAACACGTATAGAAGAGCGCAACTGATATCAAGTTTCAGTAACAGGTACAGTATACCAAAAATATAATCAGAACAAAACAACATTAACGCACACGTACGATATTAATTATACATGTTTGATCTCCAGTACAAATATTCCATTTAAAAACTATTTTGACTACAAAACAGATACAGTGCATTCAATAAAACGCAACCAAAAACACAAAGTAAATACACAACGATGGAAGTATATGGCAAGTTCGATACGAAAATACAACAGGAGACACAATCATCCAAAACAACAGAAACAGGAGCAATACCAAAAGAACAGGAGCTGTGGCAACACCGAAACATTAAAAAATAAGGCCACACAAAACCAAGAAAAAATGCGGCAACAACAAAACAACCAAAGCTGATGCTTCACTAAAGCAGCAAAAACTGAGACAACAACAAAAAAACAAGAAAAAACTGCGGTAACTACAAAACAACAAAAACTAAAGGCCACACCAACACAACTGAAACTGAGGTAACACCATACCTGCATAAACTGAGATCACACAGAACCAAAGGTAACTGACGCATTACCAAAATAACATTAACTAAGACAACACCTAACTAACAGAAACTGAGTCTCTGCCGAAACTACAGAAACTGAGTCTCTGCCGAAACTACAGAAACCGAGTCTCTGCAGAAACTACAGAAACTGAGGCAAAAACAAACCAACAAAAACTGATGCCACACAAAATCACAGGAACTGAGACAAAACAAACCTCAAGAGACAACAAAACAACGGAAACTGAAACAACACCAAAACATCAGGACTGAGACGGTCTCAAATCTGAGGTGTCAGGAAAAAATAGGAACTGAGGACATGCGCGTTAACTCAGGTGACACCACATCATCAGGTACTAAGTAGATGTCAAAACAACGGGGACTAGGGAAATATGAAAATAACGGTGAAAACTAATGAGGCACAAAACGAAACATAACACATAATGAACAACACAAAAAAGGCAAAACAGATACTCTGGAATGGGTTTCTGTCATCTTGTGCCCCGCCAAACTCAAGAAAGTGTGTAGATCACCATCGTTATAAGTACGGCGAACATTCCATTGCCATTTTACAGTTGAAGACAAAGCTATGATAACGACAAAAACACTTCTTAAACGTAAGATCAAAGCCTCTCCTTTATAATGCTATTCATTTCTGTTATAAGACAATTATATTGGGTCTTATACCATATCTGTTTTTACAATTGGTTGGCAATGGAATGTAATACAATTACCTGATCTATTTCACCAACAAATCCGGGTGATTTTGGACATTTCCCAATGATAAGTGGATTATTTCTGGATTCAAGATTTCCTGAAAAAATAAAATGAAATAGTTATTCAGATGTACATACTACAATAAATATTGTTATAGCTGTCAACGATTGATGAACATTATTATAACTAGTATTAGTTTCTGGATTCAAGATTTCCTGTCAAAAGTGACTAAAGTATTTATTAAAAATACATGTTACATTATATAAATAATTAGATATAACATATCTATTTACGATTGATGCCTATTATTATACGAGGAAGACACTAAAATAATTCTTTTCAAGTAAAAACGTAATGCCTCTATGTAATTAACTAATTAGGTGCTATGTTTATAATGAAAGGTTTATTGCCAACAGACAGTGTATATTCCCAACACCTGTGTCTTCACGCCTCTCGTTCTGTCACTATATATATACAGCCTGTACACTATATAAACTAATTCGTATAAACGTCACTCAAGTTTGCCATGAAAGCTATGATTTATGAGTGTTATAAAACGTGTAATTTCTAAATAAGTTTCTCACATATGTCTTAACGATTTGCTCATATCACCACAAACAAACGGTGGTGGCCGGTAAATCACAATATGTCCACGTCATGTAACGTTTCATCAAGTACAAATAATTGAGGAGAATAGCTAATTCCTTTTAAATGATGACGAGAAAATATCATAGATCTAGAAATAGACATTAATACTTAAAACGTGCAGGTGGTTTGTTGACACATCATTGTGTCTATAATTGGTTTGTTGACACATCAGTGTATCTATAATTGGTTTGAGGACACATTCGTGTATCTATAATTGGTTTGTTGACACATCAGTGTATCTATAATTGGTTTGTTGACACATCAGTGTATCTTTAATTGGTTTGTTGACACATCAGTGTATCTATAATTGGTTTGTTGACACATCAGTGTATCTATAAGTGGTTTGTTGACACATCAGTGTATCTATAATTGGTTTGTTGACACATCAGTGTATCTATAATTGGTTTGTTGACACATCAATGTATCTATAATTGGTTTGTTGACACATCCGTGTATCTATAATTGGTTTGTTGACACATCAGTGTATCTTTAATTGGTTTGTTGACACATCAGTGTATCTATAATTGGTTTGTTGACACATCAATGTATCTATAAGTGGTTTGTTGACACATCAGTGTATCTGTAATTGATTTGAGGACACATCAGTGTATCTATAATTGGTTTGTTGTCACATAAGTGTATCTTTAATTGGTTTGTTGACACATCAGTGTATCTATAATTGGTTTGTTGACACATCAGTGTATCTATAATTGGTTTGTTGACACATCAGTGGTTTCTATAATTGGTTTGTTGATACATCAGTGTATCTATAAGTGGTTTGTTGACACATCAGTGTATCTATAAGTGGTTTGTTGACACATCAGTGTATCTATAATTGGTTTGTTGACACATCATTGTATATATAATCGGTTTGTTGACACATCAGTGTATCTATAAGTGGTTTGTTGACACATCAGTGTATTTATAATTGGTTTGTTTACACATCAGTGTATCTATAATTGGTTTGTTGACACATCAGTGTATCTATAATTGGTTTATTGACGCATCAGTGTATCTATAATTGGTTTGTTGACACATCATTGTATATATAATCGGTTTGTTGACACATCAGTGTATTTATAAGTGGTTTGTTGACACATCAGTGTATTTATAATTGGTTTGTTGACACATCAGTGTATCTAAAATTGGTTTGTTGACACATCAGTGTATCAATAAGTGGTTTGTTGACACATCAGTGTATCAATAATTGGTTTGAGGACACATCCGTGTATCTATAATTGGTTTGTTGACACATCAGTGTATCTATAAGTGGTTTGTCGACACATCAGTGTATCTGTAATTGGTTTGTTGACACATCAGTGTATCTTTAAGTGGTTTGTTGACACATCAGTGTATCTATAATTGGTTTGTTGTCACATAAGTGTATCTTTAATTGGTTTGTTGACACATCAGTGTATCTATAATTGGTTTGTTGACACATCAGTGTATCTAGAATTGGTTTGTTGACACATCAATGTGTCTATAGTTGGTTTGTTGACACATCAGTGTTTTCTATAATTGGTTTGAAGACCAAATAGTGTAACAAATGGTTCGTAGACTTAATAGTGTTACCGTTAAAAGTAATTGATTTGCAGACTTAAAAGTGATATCTGTAATTGTGGTTTGTAGACCTGACTGTTTTTTTATTTGGTTCGTAGATCTGATAGTGATTTTTCATGTGGTTTGTACATCTGACAGTGATTTTAAGCCTCTGTAATGTTAGTTATAGATTACAGTAATATATTGGTTTGTAGATCTGTGAGTGTTAGTTATAATTGGTTTGTAGATCTGAGAGTGTTAGTTATAATTGGTTTGTAGACCCTTTAATGTTAATTGCAATACGTTTGTAAACTCGACAGTGTAAGTGATATTAGTAATTGGTTTGTAAATCTGATAGTTTTAGTTATAATTGGTTTGTAGACCCTGTAATATTAACTGTAATTACATGTAGTTTGTAGACCCAATAGTGTTAGTTATAATTGGTTTGTAGACCCTGTAATGTTAACTGTAATTACATGTAGTTTGTAGACCCAATAGTGTTGGTCATAATTTGTTTGTAGACCCTGTTATGTTAACTGTAATTACATGTAGTTTGTAGACCCAATAGTGTTAGTTATAATTGGTTTGTAGACCCTGTAATGTTAACTGTAATTACATATAGTTTGTAGACCCAATGGTGTTAGTTATAATTAGTTTATAGACCCTGTAATGTTAACTGTAACTACATGTAGTTTGTAGACCCGATAGTGTTAGTTATAACTGGTTTGTAGACCATGTAAAGTTAACTGTAACTACATGTAGTTTGTAGACCCAATAGTGTTAGTTAAAATTGAATTGTAGACCCTGTAATGTTAACTGTAATTACATATAGTTTGTAGACCCAATGGTGTTAGTTATAATTAGTTTATAGACCCTGTAATGTTAACTGTAACTACATGTAGTTTGTAGACCCAATAGTGTTAGTTATAATTGGTTTGTAGACCCTGTAATATTAACTGTAATTACATGTAGTTTGTAGACCCAATAGTGATAGTTAAAATTGAATTGTAGACCCTGTAATGTTAACTGTAATTACATGTAGTTTGTAGACACAATAGTGTTAGATATAATTGTTTTGTAGACCCTGTAATGTTAACTGTAATTACATGTAGTTTGTAGACCAATAGTGTTAGTTATAATTGGTTTGTAGACTCTGTAATGTTAACTGTAATGACATGTAGTTTGTAGACCCAATAGTGTTTGTTATAATTGGTTTGTAGACCCTGTAATGTTAACTGTAACTACATGTAGTTTGTAGACACAATAGTGTTAGATATAATTGGTTTGTAGACCCTGTAATGTTAACTGTAATTACATGTAGTTTGTAGACCCAATAGTGTTAGTTATAATTGGTTTGTAGACCCTGTAAAGTTAACTCTAACTACATGTAGTTTGTAGACCCAATAGTGTTAGTTATAATTGGTTTGTAGACTCTGTAATGTTAACTGTAATGACATGTAGTTTGTAGACCCAATTATGTTAGTTTTAATTGGTTTGTAGACCCTGTAATGTTAACTGTAATTACATGTAGTTTATAGACCCAATAGTGTTAGTTATAATTGGTGTGTAGACTCTGTAATGTTAACTGTAACTACATGTAGTTTGTAGACCCAATAGTGGGGTTTTTTTTTTTTTTTTTGTAGACCCTGTAATGTTAACTGTAATTACATGTAGTTTATAGACCCAATAGTGTTAGTTATAATTGGTGTGTAGACCCTGTAATGTTAACTGTAACTTCATGTAGTTTGTGGACCCAATAGTTTTTTTTTTTTATTTTTGTTTGTAGACCCTGTAATGTTAACTGTCACTACATGTAGTTTGTAGACCCAATAGTGTTAGTTATAATTGGTTTGTAGACCCTGTTATGTAAACTATAATTACATGTAGTTTGTAGACCCAATAGTGTTAGTTATAATTGGTTTATAGACCCTGTAATGTTAACTGTAACTACATGTAGTTTGTAGACCCGATAGTGTTAGTTATAATTGGTTTGTAGACCCTGTAATGTTAACTGTAACTACATGTAGTTTGTAGACCCAATAGTGTTAGTTATACATGGTTTGTACACCCTATCATGTTAAATGTGATTTGTTTGTTGACTCAATAGTGCTGTGTAGTCTCTGTTTTGTTGATTGCAATTGGTTTATAGGTCCGATAGTGTTAGTTATTATTCTTTTGTAGACATGATAGTGTTAGTTATTATTCGTTTGTAGACATGATAGTGTTAGTTATTATTCGTTTGTAGACATGATAGTGTTAGTTATTATTCGTTTGTAGACATGATAGTGTTAGTTGTTATTCGTTTGTAGACATGATAGTGTTAGTTGTTATTCGTTTGTAGACATGATAGTGTTAGTTGTTATTCGTTTGTAGACATGATAGTGTTAGTTGTTATTTGTTTGTTGACATTATAGTGTTAGTTGTTATTCGTTTGTAGACATGATAGTATTAGTTGTTATTCGTTTGTAGACATGATAGTGTTAGTTGTTATTCGTTTGTAGACATGATTGTGTTAGTTGTTATTCGTTTGTTTACATGATAGTGTTAGTTGTTATTCGTTTGTAGACATGATAGTGTTAGTTGTTATTCGTTTGTAGACATGATAGTGTTAGTTATTATTCGTTTGTTGACATGATAATGTTAGTTATTATTCGTTTGTAGACATGATAGTGTTAGTTTTAATTAATTTGTAGACCTTGTAATGTTCATAGTCATTGGATTGTATAACCAATCGTGTTTCTTGTAATTTGTTTGACTCAAAAGTGTTATTTAAAAGTTGTTTTAGACTGGATGTCTAATAGGTTTACCTATTACTGATTGGGAGGACTTTCGACCATTCACACTGCCGCTGAATCTGCTGCCCTTGTACGTATATATAATGTCAGCCCACTCGTTGTCCTAAACAGAAATTATTCCATTAAAGGATAAATATCAAAATCCATCAAAATGACGATACTGCTCTATAAATATTGTTTCCATTTAAAATAATGAAACAAAGAATTTTATTAACAAGGTAAGACATTTCAGGTTAAATTAAGAAATATGCGCGTGAGTGTTAAGTTAACATAGGAAAACTCATAGAAGTCGAATATTGGTAGGTTTTTGTGAACTGTTCTTGTTAAATTCCAAACTATATTCCATTACAGTTACCTTAATATCTGCCCATATAACTGGAGGGACTCTCGTCTTATCCGTATTTGCCTTGAATGATATCTTGTCCTTGGCACAGGCGATTTCAACGCTGGTTGGCCCGTCAGGCCCACAGTTGCTGATGATACTCCGCCCACCTGCTTTGCAGCTTCCTTTGTCTGCACGCACTCTCATTCTCATGGAGAACGTGCGACCTAGGTACCTGTTCTGGAACCCCCACAGAGAGATATAGCCGTTCTCCCTAAACACAGCAGTATTGTTGTCGGTACCCGCCACGTTCACCTGACTGAAGGCCAGTCCCCCGTCAGATACATCCTTGATGATGCCTCCGTCGAATGTCAGCTTGAACTCGGGCTTGCATCCTACATAATGATGACATATTCCAGGTATAAAAATGCTGGCAATGTCAATGGAACCGAAAATTAACAATAAGTACTTTGCTGTACCATAATACTCTGGTTATTTAATGACGTAGATAGTAGAATAAGGAAGTCTAAGCAAAAATCGCTATTCAATCTCAAAAGATATCAAACATGGGTAGACTATGATAAAAAGGAAATACCAGTTTACTATAAAGTACATCATTCTTTAGTTGTTATGATAACATACTCGAGGATTTGAACATATGTGTGCTTCTTGCATTATTCGGTCTCTTAAGTGAACTTACTTGGAGTGGGCTTCGTTGTAGGCCTGGCTGTGGATTTACACCTACAATCGGGATGACTGTATAGATAACCGTCTGGGCAGGTCTTCAAGATCAAAGAACCTCGTTGTAACATCCAGTACGCGTCTCTCCTCGACTCTACCCTCAGGGTTGGACATCCACCTACAAAACGTATCAACGAGCAAATCCAGATCAATTAGGAAACCGACATAACTTAGATTTCTTGTAATGCAATATTGTTTTTTCGTTCTGCATCGTGATAAGAAATCCGCTTGTGCACAAATACTAATAGGATTTCCTGGACGAATATAAATGTTACAGAAGACAAATCATATTGATACATGTATATATACCAAATGTCAATATAATTTTGCGTATTAAAATTCGTTATATATATTTTTACTACAGTTTCATTATTTCAAATGTTTGCTCTAGTAAGAAATCAACAATTTTCTTAGCACATTATAATCAACATGTTTGAAAAATCAAAACGTCAACATCAACCCTAGTTGGATGGTTGATGTCGACATTCAGAAGTTTCAAACGGGCTGATCCTACACGTAAATATAAAATCATATATAATACCTAAATTAAAACACAATAACCATCGCAATTATTTCGAGCATGAAAGCATTCTAAACGGACCTGTCTTTCTCAGACTGGACGACTGCAGGGTTTCACACGGCTCTGAGCAGGTTGTATCCCAGACACATTCACCAGAGTCAGTGGTGGTCTGTACAAACCGGAGTCCGGCTGGGCAGCACGTGGGGACAGACACGCCGGCGAAACACTTGTAGTAGGTACCACACCCGCCATGACTGCTGTAGTTAAAGTTTCCCTTCTGACACGGATCTTTAGTAAACACACACATGGAATCTCATTTATTGGTGGATACAGACTACATGATATTCAAAAATCACTACTGGTATCAGAAAATACAACTTTAGATATGCTTCAAAAATATGTGACTAATTGGTACTGTTCTTGCCCTATTGTAGTCAACAAGTTAATCTTACTACTACTAGTAGGAATGTTGAAGTGACCGAATCGCCAACAACAGGTATAAAACAAGTTTTCACCAAAGTAATTGAAATATACAAACCAACAAATAAAATATGTATGAAAACATGAAACAATGAACATACATATGAATCTATAATTCACAACAATTATAACTCGATCTGATAGATTACCATCAAAACAGGTAACATCATTGGGATCACTGCACCGTTGAGTATTGGAGTCCCAGAATAGTCCCATGGGGCAATGCCTGGCCACAGCTTGGAATCCATTCCCGTTTGGAGAACATTGTATAATCTTGGAGCAGTCCGCCGGATGTGGAATGTACGTTTGGTCGTTGCTATTCGACCTCCGAAACTGCATACACAACACTAGAAAAATATTAATCAATATGACTATGATTTAGAAAAGAATATATGGAAACTAGACATTGTTGACTAACAATTTGACAGGCTTTTCTCCGTTAAGACTGATTTGACCGTATAGCTACACATTTCAGCATCTTACATATTAAATATCAAGACTCTAGACCTTACAAAACTTCAGAACAAGCTTTTCAAAGTTTGTTAACCAAAAAAATGCATTCGAACGTTGACCTCTACCGAAAACCGGACGTAGACCTATGACACAAAACTGTTTCCTGAGAAAAGGATTTGCATTGTTGGTCTGCATTATATATCCAAAGATGAAATCTTTGATTTGGGATAAAAACAAAAGTTATGAAAAATTTGGTAGATGGTCTGGGCAAACATAAATAGCTACACTGGAATAAAACAGTTTTGATATATTGTCGGCTGTTCATTAAGATCAAAGAAAATGTTCAAAATGACGTAGAACGTTAACACTTAATGTTACAGAAACAATGAAGACATCAAAACGATTTGGATGGAATTCTTCACCGAATACATTAAGATTTTTTCAAAACAATCGAGAAATAAAAAGTTGAAAAATCGGTGACCTTTAATCCAACAGCGATGATTTTATTTCACCTTTTTGTTTTAACATAGTTTTTGAGTTATGGCCATTTTATGATTTTGACCTATGACGTCATGGCGGCCATATCGGATATTTTACCTACTTGAAAATGTTGCAATGACTTTGGCCTATAATATACTTATAAGCCTATTAACACATCTGCTACCAATCAAAAGATGAAGTGGCCACAAAATCAAGGATAATGATAATAATGATAAGTAGAAGAAAAAGAAACATAACAAAACAAATAGGTCTTTTAACCATAAGTGAAAATCCCTAATTAACAGGTACGATATGGTTATTTATCTTGCAGGCACGGTAGTCTAGTGGTAGGACGCCGGGCTCGTGACCGAAGGGTTGCGTGTTCGAGTCACGACACGGCACTGTGTTGTATCTTTGAGCAATATACTTTACTCCATTTGTTCCAGTCTACTCAGTTCTAAATGAGTACGTGGTTGGGCAGTTCTAGAATTGTTGAATGCTAGCTGTGAGCGCCGAACTGGCAGCTCCAGCTGTATGCTCCCCAGGGAGTTGATAAAGGTATTGGCTGGTTGCAAACGCCCTATAACTACGGATACAATTATTTGTGAACCGCTTTGAGATGACCTACAAAGTAGGTTGTGATAAAGCGGTATAAAAGAACCTCGAATTTATATTATTATTTTTATTATTATTATTTATTTGTGACATTTTAGAATGTATTTAGCTGTTTGAATTGAGATCTATTTGTGACATTTTAGAATGTATTTAGTTGTTTGAATTGAGACCTATTTGTGACAGGGTTGTGCGTATCTGTTATTGCCTAAGTAAGAATCAGTACGAATAGCGATTATGACAACTCAATCATTTACGTTCATACACATAATTTAATTCCTTTTCAGTGTAAGTAAACTCACCTTTTAAATCATATTCCATTTTATTTCGTGGTGGTTTTGCTTGTGATTTATCCCGTACTGATTTTGTTGTTACTGTGGACGACGAAGTTGTTGGCACAGATTTTGTTCTTTGAGCTATCCGACCATTTGGAGGCCTCAGATTCGGACTTTCTTTTCTCTGCATTCCCTTAAACAATTTAGAGTCCACAGGTCCGAGAAAGAACGGCAAATTTTTCATGAAGCTTGCGTCTATCAGAATCCCCTGTGGGGCAGTATTAAACTGGGCGGTGTTTTGTTTGTTTATGTCGGTTTCTGTTTCAGTTACACCCTCCTTCACTGAATCTGACTTCGCGTCTGCGGTCGATACATTCTTAGCTCTGTATTTAACACCACTTTCCATTTTTGAAGATTTGTTTCCAGTTATTTGATCGTATTTCTTCTCCGAAACTGTTGTCTGCGACACATGGTCACTAGGTTTGATATCTTTGGTTTTAGAAGCTTCAGGGGTAAAAACAGGCGCATTTACCGCGGTTTCGAAGGGTTTATCAGCTCCTTGTAATGTCTTTGGCTTAAGAAATCTGTGCTTGACACCTGCATCGTCATTTGAAAATGGATTCATATGAGTGAAAAAATTAGGAATTTCAAACAATGTCCTAGATTTGTCCGACTTAGGAATTTTTGATCGCGATCTCTTCACTTGTTGCGGGATATAAAAATTTGATTGAGATATTTGCACTGCGTTTTGGACGTTGGAAGTTGATTGAGAGTCCTGAGGTTGTTTTTTGGCGATGAAATTTGATCGAGAAATCTGTGTTTTCTTTTGGGCGTTGGAATTTGATTGAGAAATATGTGTTTGCTTTTCAAAACCAGAGTTTGTGTTAATATTTTTTGATTCACCATACGTACGCTTTTTATCAAACGGAAGCGGAATTGGAGCGGAGGAAGCCTTTGGAGAGGTTACCGTATAAGAGGAATCAATAACAATTCCCTGAAATAGCGAGTGCCGCGCACCAAAAACGTTTTGAAGTCTAGTATTCGTTGATAATGCAGATCTTTGAACTGACTTGGATTCCTTAGGATAAAGAGATGGTGTTTTAACAGCGACACCTACAGAAATGCCTGTCTGGACGTGGTTCTGGTCACCATTGTCTGCCTTTGAACGAAGTATAACAGTAGCTTCGCTTTGTGTTTGATAAGAAGCCTTGTCTGTTGAATCTTTAATTGTCTTTGACGACTCCGTGAATAGACGTACGGACGACGGCACGGACAGGTCTTCAAGTTGTCGCCTTAGATTGGTGATATTCTTTTTTAGATTGTTGCTCATTAAATTTGTCACAGGTGCTATCTCATACCCGACATCCGCGACACCCTCGACATCCTGTAAAAATTAAAGATAATACCGTACTTAACATGATGTATGAATAATTAGGTATGCTAACCTATATATACGTTGCGCTATACTTAACGTTATTTCACCTTTGCTAAAATAAAGATTAAAAAAAAAAATAAAAAAAAAAAGTGGTTAACATTATTTAAATGTTTATCAACCAAAGTTCTGATTACCAACTCACAGGTCATCAGTTAAATGGGTTGGATAATCATTAGTGATATATCAACCAACTGTTTTTGTAATATTTTTAAGAAAATCTAAGTAGAGAAAACATGCAGCTGTGTAATGTTTGCATATCAATAAGGTAACTTGTCGGTAGACTCGAGACTAACAACTGCCTCGTCGATCACACGATAACGTCTGTAAAGCGAAAGAGAGAAGCCCCATGACTTGTGATAGTCGTTTATTATATTATTGTTTTTTGCACGAGGTCTGTAGCTTGTTTAGTTTCAAGATTTTGAAAATAATAAAAGCAAAATAGTTAAGCAGGATAACGTACAGTCACCTGTGGAACTTCTCCTAATTTCATTTTTTCCTTTGTCAAGGTTATCCCCTTATAGACTTTTTATAGTAATATCATGATCAAAATACATGCTAAACATTTACTAATATATTTAAATTACTCTAGGTAAAAATATTGTTTATTTGAATTACTCGACCTTCTTTAATATATTAGTTTGATTGCCTTATCGTGAAATATTCCTGTATTCGTTAACATCAATCGTCATCCAAAAATAAATGACGAAGTTAGATTTGTATAATGTTTTAGGTATCCAATATGCTTATTAATACACGAATGGCGTATTAACATACATTTACCTGACCGTCATTCTATCAGTCGAGTTTATGAATTTGTTTGACAGAGCATCTAACAACTATCCTGTGTACCTATGATGGCCAGGACCAACCTGTCTGTCAAGCTTATAATCATATACAAGGAAGCACCAAGTAAATAAATAAGACGTAAAATATTACCGTAAATAACTCAGGGAAGCCCAATCAGTATACTATTTATAACCATATTTAACATAAGAAACTTAATAGATCTACTCTTCATTACATTGTATAACACAGGAAACTTAATAAGTCTAATGCATATTACTGTATAAAACACAGTAAGCTGAATTAGTTCAATATTTATCACCGTATATAACACGGAGATCTGAATTAATTTACTATTTATCAACGTATATAACGCAGGAAGCTGAATAAGTTTACTATTTATTACCGTATATGACACAGGAAAGTGAATTATTCCATACGTTGCCGTATATAACACAGGAAACTAACTTACCGTGCTATTTAATTTCCGTATGTAACACGGGGAAACACAAGTGACTATCATACTATAGAACAGAAAGGTGAAAGGTGAAACTACTTATTACCGTATATAACACAGGGAAATCCTAAAATTTTACTGTTTATTACCGGATATAACACAGGGAAATTCAATTATTTTACTGTTTATTACCGTATATTACACAGGGAAATTCAATTATTTTACCACTTATTACCGTATATAACACAGAGAAATTCAATTATTTTACTGTTTATTACCGCATATAACACAAGGAAATTCAATTATTTTACTGTTTATTACCGTATATAACACAGGAAAGTGAATTATTCCATATCTATGTTGCCGTATATAACACAGGAAACTAACTTACCGTGCTATTTAATTTCCTTATGTAACACGGGGAAACACAAGTGACTATCATACTATAGCACAGAAAGGTGAAAGGTGTAACTACTTATTACCGTATATAACACAGGGAAATTCAATTATTTTACTGTTTATTACCGTATATAACACAGGAAAGTGAATTATTCCATATCTATGTTGCCGTATATAACACAGGAAACTAACTTACCGTGCTATTTAATTTCCTTATGTAACACGGGGAAACACAAGTGACTATCATACTATAGCACAGAAAGGTGAAAGGTGTAACTACTTATTACCGTATATAACACAGGGAAATTCAATTATTTTACTATTTATTACCGTATATAACACAGGGAAATTCAATTATTTTACTATTTATTACCGTATATAACACAGGGAAATTCAATTATTTTACTGTTTATTACCGTATATAACACAGGGAAGTGAATTATTCCATATCTATGTTGCCGTATATAACACAGGAAACTAACTTACCGTGCTATTTAATTTCCTTATGTAACACGGGGAAACACAAGTGACTATCATACTATAGCACAGAAAGGTGAAAGGTGTAACTACTTATTACCGTATATAACACAGGGAAATTCAATTATTTTACTATTTATTACCGTATATAACACAGGGAAATTCAATTATTTTACTATTTATTACCGTATATAACACAGGGAAATTCAATTATTTTACTATTTATTACCGTATATAACACAGGGAAATTCAATTATTTTACTATTTATTACCGTATATAACACAGGGAAATTCAATTATTTTACTATTTATTACCGTATATAACACAGGGAAATTCAATTATTTTACTATTTATTACCGTATATAACACAGGGAAATTCAATTATTTTACTATTTATTACCGTATATAACACAGGGAAATTCAATTATTTTACTATTTATTACCGTATATAACACAGGGAAATTCAATTATTTTACTATTTATTACCGTATATAACACAGGGAAATTCAATTATTTTACTATTTATTACCGTATATAACACAGGGAAATTCAATTATTTTACTATTTATTACCGTATATAACACAGGGAAATTCAATTATTTTACTATTTATTACCGTATATAACACAGGGAAATTCAATTATTTTACTATTTATTACCGTATATAACACAGGGAAATTCAATTATTTTACTATTTATTACCGTATATAACACAGGGAAATTCAATTATTTTACTATTTATTACCGTATATAACACAGGGAAATTCAATTATTTTACTATTTTTTGCCGTATATAACACAGGGAAATTCAATTATTTTACTATTTATTACCGTATATAACACAGGGAAATTCAATTATTTTACTATTTATTACAATATTTACCCCTTTAGTTTACTATCATTAAAGTGTGTAAACAAGTAATCGCAATTAGCAAACCATATGTTTTAACCATTATGAAAAATGATAAAAGAAATATACAAATAACAGCTGTTTTAAGAATAAAAAGGAAGACAAAGCAGTTGATATGATGCATTGTTTTATAAAAGAAATTAAGTTTTCTTATAAGAAATATATCACACTGTTATTTTCCAAACATTTTGATTAAGAAGAATGCAGGTTTTCAGTCTTGAATTATCATATCAGACTATTTTAGTCTGCAAGTATTATTATGGTATCGTGTAAACCAACAGTTGATTAAGGCAGAACTAACTTGACCGGGTCATCGCTACCTTCATAGTTACAGCTGTAATAGCACAATAACGCAAATGATTCAATCGTTAACCGAGGTCTAGAACCGCATTTTAGCCCAAATAAGTTTTGATTAGCTTTATCAAAAACCATTATTATTACCTAAAAACACGTTTGTTCCCGTTTTTTTTCCTATTTGTTTTTGCATCATTCAATACAAGTGTTTAAACAAAGATTGCAAAAGTTCTGGTTTAAATAAAATAGTAGTTAAGGACAAAACATCCATTGTTTATCATTGTATGTATTAAATTCATTCGGTGAAATGGTGGAATGTATACCTATGCAGCAGAAGTCGGAAACAGATCTATCAAACACTACTTCCTGTGACGCGGCACATAACAAAACACTTATCTACCTATATATGTCAGATTTACTTGTCAAGCGATGACATATATTCCACCACAGCCAAATCATCAACTGGTCAGTTATGTGAGAAGTGACGTGTCCAGTTATATCTTGTGTGTTACATATCAGTTCACAGGTAAACTGCGTACCAGACCGTCACTCACTACTGTCACTTACTCATGTCTCGTTCAAATTAATTTTAAGTGCAGCTGTTTATCATTCAGAAGTTAGTATAATGAACTAATATATCTATATCTGAAGAGGATTTGTTTCTAGTGTATGCCAATAAGTCAAATAAAATATGCTGTTCAGTCTAATTTGACAAAATATATTCGAATAAAAGACATTTACGCTTTTATATAGAGATTGCCATATGAAAAGCGTAGTCACGTCACACATATATAATATATTTATATCGTTAATTTCTCATATTTTCTAACAGGCTTTTATGAGCACAGTCTCACACACGGTATAATTCACTTAATTTTCCTAATGACCAAATGAACAGACTGGTTCAAAGTTCATGGAGGTAGAAATATAATTAATCTATAGAGCCAAATTTATTGATAAAAAGATGAATTGTAATTGAGTGTTTTATTTAGTCTTTATTTAGTCTTATATATATTATATATGTAGTATTTCTTGGTAAATGATATGTACAAATGTAGATTTGAAATACAGATAAATCAATATTAAGCATTTGAGAAATGAAATGACGAGTTACATCAAACTGAACATCTGAAACTTAAAGAACCATTCTATAGCAAAGGAAATAGTTTACATTTTTATTAGAATACATCATAATTGTTTTGCTTTGTTTTGTACATACCTTGACTTTAATCGAAGATCTGCTTTGTGTAGATGTCACCGTCGGAGACGCGGCTTCAGCGGTTACTAAATTGTTGATACTGACTACAGGTGCATTAGGTGATGTGTTCGTCACAACCAAGTAAGATATTCCATTGTTAGTTATATCACTTCCGGAAGTTGATGAACTAGTTGTTGAGACTTTTTGTGTCTGTTCTGTACTGGAATTGTTATGTACTTCAGGAGACCACAGACCAAAGAATACGCTGGGTTTGCTATTATCACCTGTGGTACTCCTCTTAGGTGTCTCAGTCGTAGGTTCCATAGAAGTTTTCAATGAACCAACGGGGAGTTTTATATTAGAATCCTTCCAAAATATATGGTCGACAAAGAAAGGTATTCCTGTAATAGGCGCAGGTTTGGATTCTGTCGTCCTTTGTGGTACAGAGGGGGTAGTGCTATACATATCTGAATCTGTTGTCGTTTGAACAACAGACGGAGTGTGATACAGATCTTGTATGGTTCCTTGATTCAGTGGATATGATGATACTGGCGCCGACAATGTCGACGTTTCCATAGGTATCACGCTAGTCGAATAATCTATCGTTGTCATTGTTGAAGGTATTGTTACTGTTGTTGGTGGTGATGGTGATGTAGGTATTGTTGTTGATGTTTCAGCTGTTATTTCAATGTTTGTTTTTCTATAACTGCCTTGATATCCTGTCGTAGGAGTTCCAGGACGCATGCCAAGAGTAGTTCCTACTTTGATACCGCCCGCTTCTTCGTACCTATCCACATTTTTAAATGTACCTGCTGCTGCTGTATCGGAAGCGATGATCTGATTTAAGTTTATAGGGATACCTGCTTCAAACCCTGGTCGTCTTAAAGCATCCATCATTTTCTGTAAAGCCGGTGGTATGACGTTTTTGTTTCTGATAAAAACGGATTTTGATGTAGTGGCGGCCATTGTTGGTGTAGTTGTTGCTTTGGTGGTGCCCCTTAACTTCGCATCTACGCCACTGTTATACGCTGTAGACGTCGGTGAGTGTGTTGTCGCACTGACGATACTATTTTGCCTACTCGCAGATATTGGCGAACTTTGTTGTGGAGTGAGTTTAGAAGATGGGACAGACGAGGAACGAACTGTTGAAATTGTTGTGGTTGTTATCTTTGTTGTCGTCTGCACTGGCACTTTAGGCAGAAAATGCGATCTAATGATACTGAACGCATTGATATCAAATATCCTCATTGGTTGTTTTACGGATTTAATAATTGGTACTACTGTCTTGGTGTCTTCAGTTATGTAACCTTTTGGTGAACTGTTTACTTTTTTATCTGTTGCTAACTTCGTCTTATTTTCTACAGTTATCGGTTCTGTGTCAAAACTATTCGGCGTTGGGATTAGAAACAAGTCCATGTTAGAGACTGTTCCGTTATTTAAATATGTCACTCGCTTGAATGGAGTTGCAGTTGTTTGCTGAGCGTTAACTCTTTTGAGACGACTCTCTGTTGTAAAATTAACTTCCCTGTCCTTAACATTGTCTCTAAGTCCGGACTGAAATTGAGATGCTATCACGGCATCCTTCGAAAGTGGATTAATTGCATCTTTTTTGTTAAAGTTTACAGGTTTTTTCATAGCTTTTCCAGCATTTTCACCGTTATAAGTCTCAATTGTATGACTACTAATTTTCTGATGACCATTGTCGTCATCCGATAGTGTTTTTGGTGTCGGTACCAGTTCTATACCAGTTTGGTTTAAATTATGCGACATTCCTGCTTTTTGATGATTTAGCCATGTCATTGATATATAGTCACTTGACATGTCCGCCGTGTTTTCGATGCCTGAAGTCTTCACAATGTCACTTGTATTTGATTTAATTGGCGTAATCTGTTCTGTGTATACACGTGTGTTTCTCAAAGATTGTGGTTGTCCACGCACGACGTCTACAACATTAGAATTACTTCTTGGTCGTACCGATGGAGCCAGTAAACTCGTTGCACTTGGTTGAGGCCAGTCGTGGAGCAGTGGACGTTGACTTGGTGCGATATTCACTCCTACACCTCTTGCAGTTGGTCTCATTTTAATCCCATTGTGTAGTCCTTTCGGTGGGGTGGATAACTGCATCGGCCCCAAGCTATGTCTCCTTGGTGATACCGACGGTGGTATTGGCTTTATCTGCTGTCCGATTGGAGACATCGATTGCCGCATTTGCCAATTCATTTTTCCTTTCATAGGCATAGGTGAATGCATCGTTCCAACCAGTGGCCCTAAAGGTGCTATTGACGGCCGCACTATTCTATTATATTGTTGTTTTTCCGGTAAAGCTGACATGTCAATTTGATGTTTCAGTGGCAGAGATGGCTGAATTGGTGTGGCAAGTAATCCTCTTGGTGACATAGTTGATCGGATAGGTCCAACTTGAGATTTACTTGGTCGTAAAAATTGTGGTGACATCCCTACCATGGCGTGTTTTGGTGGTTTTATTGGTCGCATAATTTGCTCGTGGATGGGTCCTTGTGGTATGTGTTGCCCCCGGGTTGGTTTTGGTTTTAAGTATTGACCCGCGGTAGGTCTTATGTATTGACCCTGTGTTGGTGTTGGTCTCATGTGTTGACCCGCGCTAGGTCTTATGTATTGACCCTGTGTTGGTGTTGGTCTTTTGCGTTGACCCGGGGTTGGTCTTGGTCTTGTGTATCGACCAGGAGTAGTTGGTCTTGATCTTTTGTGTTGTTCCGGGGTTGGTCGAGTTTTTTTGTGTTGACTCGGAGTTGGTTTCGTGTATCGACCCGGGGTAGGCTTGTGTCTTATGTATTGACTTGGTGTTGGCCTTGCTCTTGTGCGTTGACCCAGAGTTGCTCTTGGTATTTTATGTTGAGTCGTGGCTGGTATTGTTTTAATGTGTTGAACCGGATTTGGTTTTAGTCCGTTGTAATATCCTGGGGTTGATCTTTGTCTCATGTGTATTTCTGGGGTTGGATTTGGTCCTCTGTTTTGTCCTGGTGTTGACCTAGTATCCATACCGATTACTGGCGGTACTAGCATACCCATATGGTGTCGAGGGGGTGCATTTGGTCCATTGTAAAGACTGAACCTAGTATCCGGTTTCGCGCTTCGTGCCGATCCCGTTATTGTCGACGGATCATTTCCTTGGTTGTTGATATAGTAGGGTGGAACTGGAGAACGATTAAACCCCGGGGTTGACTGTCCCATTGTCATGCTTGTCGGTGAAGGATAACTATGTTGCACAATTCGTGTGTTTATATGTAAGCTATCAGCCGGAATTGCTGAAGTTCCTACTGGACGTGGGGATGGAATAGGTAATTTATTAACACCAACTGGGTTACTAATGTACTGTCGACGACTCTGAGGAAATGAAACCATGTTTATAGTACCTGTGTCTGTTTTGTGGTGGCTGTTTTGAATCAAATGTTCACTTCCCCGTGTCGGGCTTAGTTGTGGCATAACACTTGGCAAAACACGTCCATTTTGGGATATTCTAATTGACATCGTACTCGGTAAGGAATGCGTGTTCCCATCGCTGGTTGTCGTCTGTATCCTATTCATACCTATGTTATTTTCATTGGGGGTTAATGTCATCATGATATCCGGTGATGACTTAGACCCCTTTCTCCAATGTTCGTCTGTATTAGATAAACCGACAGCCTCAATTCTCCGCTGGTCTACTTGCATACTTAATGATGCGTGTCTGTTTGAACTATCTAAGTTATTATTGTTTGCCATTCCTCCAGACTTTCTATTGTTTTTTCTGTATTGAAACATTCCCTTTGTTTGGAGTTTAACGGGATCACTAGAGTAACGCTGAAACGCGGGTTGGACGGTGTTCCTCTGGTTCTGAGTTCCTTGGAACTGTCCAAGATTTTTGTAATGACCATTTTGATGAAAATTGTTTGTTAATGATTGTCTTTTGTTCACACTATTTGTATCTGGTTGAAGCGTTTTACGACCCGCATTGTTGTTCATATTACCACTTTGGGGTTGCTTCTGAATACCCTCATTACTCCAGGTATTTTCTTGTGGCCTAGCTGGGTGCCCATTAACCATATATATATATTCATCAGTCCTATGACCAGGTCCATTTTTCACATTATTTGTTTTTGAAGGTGACCCATTTGTGTTTCCATGCCACTGTCCCGTTGATCTTCCATTAGATCTACTTGCCCAGCCAGATAACTTGGCTGGTTTAGACACTACGGCGGACCCTACTACGTACTGCTCCTCAGTAGTCATCATATACCCAGGTGTTGTTGTGATTGGCCCTTGTCGTACTCTCGGTTTGGGTAGTACAGGCATACTGAAAGAAGGAGAATGTTTCTTGGTTGATGGAGATATTGGGCCCAAAGGGCGATTCCGAAATGTTCCTCCTGTTTGACGGCCACGATAATTCTTCTTTATATTTTGTCCTAATCCACGTCTTGCATTCTGCCTGAAGTTAAACGCATTTGACGGATCACTGATCATCATGGACTTCCTATTGCTTGCAAATCCCTCTGAGGTAGATGTTCGTGAGTTTCTATCAAAACCATTATTGTGAAGTCTTTGAGAGTTTTGTGATAGAAAGGCATGTTTTCGTTGTGCAGCTATTTCATTTGAATAGCCTAATGTCATTATGAACAATACATAAAGTGTCGAAAAATAATCCATTTTGCACAACTGAAACGAAACAAAAACCAAGTTATGTATAATCATATTGATGAATGCTGATTATCTTAACTGGAAGCTGACATGAAAGCAAACAATTATATAGTGCATATATAGAAATATCCTGTTGGTAATTTCACCTAAACAAATAAAACCACAATTACAAATAGGTGTTCACAATTTCCAAATTAAATGCATCTCCGAAAATATTTTCCCTATCCTTGGTAATAACAAAATAGAACCTGAATACCTCCATGAATCTAAATGGAACATATAAATGAATGTATAACGATACATTTAACAATTAAGTAAAGGTTATAATTAAAATACCTTATTCTTCATTAATGTGTTTTTATATTAATTTGTGTGATTAATATTTACATGTTAGTATTAACATGGTGCTCCCTAGCTTTGTTTCAGATACAATGTAAAACTCTTCCTACCGTTCTCTCAGAAATAACACCACCCATCCTTGTCTAAGATAAAACACTTCCTACCGTTCTCTCTGAAATAGCACTTCCCATCCCTGTCTAAGATATAATACCTCCTACCCTTGTTTCAGATATAACACTTCCTACCGTTCTATAAGAAATTACACTTCTCACCCATGTCACAGATATAACTGCCCAGCCTTGTCTCAGATATAACACTTAGCAACCTTGTATCAACCAGCATTTCTTACCGTTTTATCAAAGATCTAACACATCTAACACTATGAATGCCAAATAGACAGAGTAGAATCATTGAAACATAAATTATACCCATCAACTGCATGATAACATTGTATCAGACATAAAATGTATCGCTTTCATGACCACTCTTCTCAACCATTATCCTTCTCAACCCCGTAATCAAACGTGACACTCCCTAATCTTGTATCGAACACTCCTATATCAAACATGGAACTTTTCACTCTTACTTGAAACATGACACTTGTTAGAAGCGTTTAGATCAAGTTTTGAACATGATGCTTCACATAAGCATGACATCCGAGTATCAAAGATGATATTTTTTTACCTTCATGGTATTTCAAACATGAGAATTCCGACACTTACATCGAACACATTACTTAAAACCTGCATGATAGTCTTCTATCAAACGTGATGCTTCTCATTATTTATTCAAAAATGGAATTTCTCGACAGCATGACAACCTTGTTTCAATTATAACACTATTTATCTCCATGACAACATCATCGGGAACTGTAGTATTGCATGAGGAAAAGGTCAGAGAGAGCAACATTGTAATCTCTTTCAAGACACGCCCATAACATGGAAATCTTAATGCACTTAATTCTAATAGGTCATTTCCTATTCCTCTAATAGGTCATTTCCTATTCCAGTAATCAAGGACATTTAATATTACGGTGTTACAAAAATGAGAGTATCCGGACTAGTTTGTCGTTGATAAATTCAATGCAATGTCTCTGGTTCAATACTACTGCGTTCAGTTAAAATACAGATACATATACTAGGTTTTGTCGACCGAGAAATTTTATACCGCTTCATTGTAATTTGTGAAATAAAGTGTTATATTTTGTCTGCAATAAAATCTCGAAACATGCAACACCACTTAATTACAGCAGAGGTCGGATGTCAAGTGACATAAAACTCGAGCGAGGAGATGTACCTGTGTGTTAGTGTATAATGTCTTCAGGGTAAAGGTTATGATAAAGTCTGTGTTCCAACAAAACACAATAAATCTGTCCATTCATATTCCCATAAGATGAGGGTCCCCAAAACATAAAACAAATAATACTGTCTATTTGGTTTTATAAAGAAAAATGTCAAACAAACGCGCCATCTCGTTTATTTATTCTGTCTAATATTCAGGACTTATGAAGCCTTATTACATGTAGGTAGCTGTATTCCGATACATATGTATTACATGTAGGTAGCTGTATTGTGATATTACACATAGGTAGCTGTATTGTGATATTACATGCATGTAGCAGTATTGTGATATTACATGTCGGTAGCTGTATTCCGATACATATGTATTACATGTAGGGAGCTGTATTGTGATATTACACTTAGGTAGCTGTATTGTGATATTAAATGCATGTAGCTGTATTGTGATATTACTTGTAGGTAGCTGTATTGTGCTATTACACATAGGTAGCTGTGTTGTGATATTACATGCATGTAACTGTATTGTGATATTACATATAGGTAGCTGTATTGTGATCTTACACATAGGTAGCTGTATTGTGATATTACATGTAGGTAGCTGTATTGTGATATTACATGTAAGTAGCTGTATTGTGATATTTCATGTATGTAGCTGTAATGTAACATTATGTAACTAGTTGGCCTATCCTATATGTAATTAATACGTTATTTATAGCCTTTCAACACAACACCACACAGCAATATTCTCTATCGTGTTTACCTGCATGAACATTATTTCACAGAAAAAAATCTGGGAATAATATCCCACTTCGTCTTCATTAAAACCACACAACACGTTGTATCGAAAAACCACGCATTAATAAATAAAACTTACTTTTCATGCATAACAAATCCCGAAAATGTCTTAATATCCAAAAGAATAGTTATTAAAAATAACGTAATGCCATGTTTTCGAGGTAAATGACTAAACGCAAAGGAACAGAATAAGCACTCACCTTTTACGTTCCCGTGGCTATTTTGAACATCATGTGTCCACTGTTTTACACATGTAGGCCTACACACTGACCGCACTACTGATGACCTGCCGTGACACGGTGGTGATGGTCACACTAGTTAGTGAGTGTCGTCGTGTTATCCGTCATTGAGCCATACTGTCTCCAGATTGTTATATGGAGATTAATGTCCGTAAGCCTCGCTGTACACGACGCACCTCGTAGCCTGCGTGCCCAACACTCACAGCCATAATAAATACTCGGGCTTAAGTAGATTGCAAATTACGATAACTCGCGTAACTGTCTCGAAATAAATCTCCTCTGTTTCTTCAAATGCCGACATTGTTTTACTTGGAAAATATGATAATACTTGAAATGTATCAAACTCTGTATATTTAACCATTGCGTTAAGAAACGGTTTAAGATGCCAATCACGTTTTATCTCTCTTCGGATAAATCTTATCCTACGCTTTCTATGTTGTTTTATAGAAAGTAGTAAAATCTGATGATAACAAATTATGAATTAATTTATTTATGTATATGAATAAAGGAAATATCAAACTGTCCTCTACAACACGGCTATGACCAATCACACGTATATTTCCATACTTATAATGTCATGTTATTGAAATGAGGAGTGTCTATAGCCTCCCTAATCCTCACTGAGATACTTATGTGTATCGTCTAACACAGCCGCACATTACATGGTCAGGTATATCTCATATAGGTCAGCTCCCTAATTAGCATTAGAATTAACGCTGACTGCACTAATGAATAACTTTTGCTGTCTACAACATCGTTTAAGATGGAGTAGGTATCCACCGGTTATGACAAGATTATTATGTTTTCCATAATTACACTTTTTAGTTTGATGATGGAGTGTCAACTGTAGGGTAAAAACAGCATTGGGTCCTTTAGTTATATAAGTATAAACCCACATTATGTTTTTGTGAAACATAAGACATTTTTCCCTGATTTTTTGTATCCGTTTTTCAAAGCATACATTAGTGATTAATCCACATGCAATCGCAATGTAAGTTAGACTTATTTCATCATGTGAATAGTAAAATAGACAAGTGTACGTCTAGTTCTTCTGAGAAAGATGCTAGACTGCAGTTGTTGAACTGCAATCAACTGACGGAGCCGTTTTGATATTCATTCATAATATTTGATGTTATTTATTTATTCATTGTTACATTTGAAAAAGTCAGTTTTAATACACGATTGAATCCATTTTATGATATCATAAGATAAACTTAATTAACTATATCGAAACTTTTACATGATCAGAAAACTAATTTATGATGTCTACATTTGATATCGTTACAAAGGGGTATTGATTTCTACACATCGATTTGCTGGTTTTGCATTATACAGATGAAAATGTATTGGCTACATATTTGTTTCTTCAGAACGTTCCATATTGTCTTGTAGTATAATTCAGACAAGTGTTAAATTGGTCATAATTTATTGCTTTAAGTATTATGGGTTTTCCCCATCGAATATGTATTATATGAGCAAATAATAAGTGAATTTGAAAGCTTGCTTATTTGGTTTGAAACGATACTGCATGTGCATGGACATGCATGTCGCTCCGTCCTATTTGGGATTTAATTTGCTTATTAACACACGCATAGTAACACTAATGCACTTTAATGCAAAAGGACATTCAGTGAGTATTTGTGGCACATCGATATAACAGTAATTATGCCCTAACTGGATCGCTAAAAACCACGCTTAGAGTATAATACACAAACATGCTGGTGTATGGTATGGGAACATTCGTGTTATACATATCATGTTCTGTGGTGGTAACAAATGGCTTTGTCTGTTTCTATCAGACCTGGTTTATTCTCCAGAGCATATATATATATTTTCTCGGTTTCACCTTCCATGTTTTGTTTCTCTTGTATGATTGTTCATGATTTTTTCCCTTATTTCCTCTCAGTTCCTATTAATTGGTTCCCTTTCCCTTTTCTACCAGGAAAGTCATTCTGTTCAGTTAAACGTTTTAATCCATCCACCACTAATGTTGTTGACCAAAACTTCAGCAAGTGTTTCAGGAAAGTCCCAGTTATCAAGCCATTTGTTGA